GTTTGTGTCATGACTAAAAGCCCTAGACAACGAAGCCATGGTTTGTGTCATGACTAAAAGCCCTAGACAAAGAAGCCATGGTTTGTGTCATGACTAAAAGCCCTAGACAACGAAGCCATGGTTTGTGTCATGACTAAAAGCCCTAGACAACGAAGCCATGGTTTGTGTCATGACTAAAAGCCCTAGACAACGAAGCCATGGTTTGTGTCATGACTAAAGGCCCTAGACAACGAAGCCATCGAACCTTTGGGTTGAACCGGGTTCGTACCACATACACATGTTTTTAAACATTGTGTTCTATTTGATCATTTTTACAAGTTCGTCTTGTAGATTTATAAAACACATATCTACCATCTGAGATATTTTTATTACAAAAAAATATTTTGAAAATAAAATAAAAGTAAAATAAAACAAAAAAATAACAAGAACACTTAAAATACAGCACATGTCGTCGCATGAAGTTCCCGGGCAACGCAACCTACCAGTACAATAAAGCATGGGTCCATACTGGTCAACTGTGCTGGTAGTTAAGAAGGATAACGGCACACATAGCCACTACAGCCCCCGGGTCTGGTCTAATGATGTTTATGGGGAAACTCCTTCTCTGGACCACGTGACAAAAGGGGCCAAGATGTTGAAAGGTACATAGGCGAATCGTTTTGTTTGTGTTGGTCAAAAAATTGGCTTGGGGCGCAATATTTCAAGACAAATGAAAGTTATTAAAATATATATTTAAAAAAATGCTAGGTCTTTCCAGGTGGACCATTACTCGCCCAGTGGCATCGTTGTTTAAAATAAGAGGCATCTAACTTGGCATGGCGTGGTACTAAAGTTGGCATGGCGTACTAGTAAAGTTGACATGGCGTGGTACTAAAGTTGGCATGGCGTGGTACGAAAGTTGGCATCGCGTGCTACTAAAGTTGACATGGCGTGGTACTAAAGTTGGCATGGCGTACTACTAAAGTTGACATGGCGTGGTACTAAAGTTGGCATGGCGTGGTACGAAAGTTGGCATGGCGTGCTACTAAAGTTGACATGGCGTGGTACTAAAGTTGGCATGGCGTACTACTAAAGTTGACATGGCGTGGTACTAAAGTTTGACATGGCGTGCTACTAAAGTTGGCATGGCATGGTACTAAAGTTGACATGGCGTGGTAATAAAGTTTGACAGGGCGTGGTACTAAAGTTGGACTAGGTGACATGGCGTGGTAATAAAGTTTGACATGGCGTGGTACTAAAGTTTGACAGGGGGGGGTATTAAGGTTGACATGGCGGGGTATTAAAGTTGACATGGCGTGGTAATGAAGTTGGCATGGCATGGTACTAAAGTTGGCATGGCGTGCTACTAAAGTTTGACATGGCGTGGTACTAAAGTTGGCATGGCGTGGTACTAAAGTTGGCATGGCGTGCTACTAAAGTTTGACATGGCGTGGTACTAAAGTTGGCATGGCGTGGTACTAAAGTTGGCATGGCGTGCTACTAAAGTTGACATGGCGTGGTACTAAAGTTGGCATGGCGTGGTACTAAAGTTGACATGGCGTGGTAATAAAGTTTGACATGGCGTGGTACTAAAGTTGACATGGCGTGGTACTAAAGTTTGACATGGCGTGGTACTAAACTTGACATGGCATGGTACTAAAGTTGACATGACGTGGTACAGGTCCGCACCTTGGACATTCTGGGCCCCAGGCAGCTGAGAGAGTTCAGGCCCCTTTCATGTTTCAAACATGCGCGTAAATTGAAAAAGGGCGGACCCCTACCTAGCTCGGACCCTTGACAAGTGCCATGGTTATCCACCTAGGTGCGGGCCTGCGTGGTACTATACTTGATATGACGAAGTACTATACTTGGTACCTTGTTTCTTAAATGCTTCCCCTGATTATAAAATCTGGATTTTCACTTCAAATAAAGACAGCTTAAACACTTGGCATTCAAGACAATGTCTAAAACTCTTGGCATTCAAGACAATGTCTAAAACTCTTGGCATTCAAGACAATGTCTAAAACACTTGGCATTCAAGACAATGTCTAAAACACTTGGCATTCAAGACAATGTCTAAAACACTTGGCATTAAAGACAATGTCTAAAACACTTGGCATTCAAGACAATGTCTAAAACTCTTGGCATTCAAGACAATGTATAAAATACTAGGCATTCAAGACAATGTCTAAAACACTGGTATTCAAGACAATGTCTAAAACGCTTGGCATTCAAGACAATGTCTAAAACACTTGGCATTAAAGACAATGTCTAAAACACTTGGCATTCAAGACAATGTCTAAAACTCTTGGCATTCAAGACAATGTATAAAATACTAGGCATTCAAGACAATGTCTAAAACACTGGTATTCAAGACAATGTCTAAAACACTTGGCATTCAAGACAATGTCTAAAACACTTGGCATTCAAGACAATGTCTAAAACACTTGGCATTCAAGACAATGTCTAAAACACTGGTATTCAAGACAATGTCTAAAACACTTGGCATTCAAGACAATGTCTAAAACACTTGGCATTCAAGACAATGTCTAAAACACTTGGCATTCAAGACAATGTCTAAAACACTTGGCATTCAAGACAATGTCTAAAACACTTGGCATTCAAGACAATGTCTAAAACACTTGGCATTCAAGACAATGTCTAAAACTCTTGGCATTCAAGACACTGTCTAAAACTCTTGGCATTCAAGACAATGTCTAAAACACTGGTATTCAAGACAATGTCTAAAACACTTGGCATTCAAGACAATGATTAAAACACTTGGCATTCAAGACAATGTCTAGAACACTTGGCATTCAAGACAATGTCTAAAACACTTGGCATTCAAGACAATGTCTAAACCACTGGTATTCAAGACAATGTCTAAAACACTTGGCATTCAAGACAATGTCTAAAACACTTGGCATTCAAGACAATGTCTAAAACACTTGGCATTCAAGACAGTGTCTAAAACACTTGGCATTCAAGACACTGTCTAAAACTCTTGGCATTCAAGACAATGCATAAAATACTTGGCATTCAAGACACTGTCTAAAACTCTTGGCATTCAAGACAATGTATAAAATACTTGGCATTCAAGACAATGTCTAAAACACTGGCATTCAAGACGATGTCTAAAACACTTGACATTCAAGACAATGTCTAAAACACTTGACATTCAAGACAATTTCTAAAACACTTGGCATTCAAGACACTGTCTAAAAACGTGGCATTCAAGACAATGTCTAAAACACTGGTATTCAAGACAATGTATAAAATACTTTGCATTCAAGAAAATGTCTAAAACACTTGACTTTCAAGACACTGTCTAAAACTCTTGGCATTCAAGACGATGTCTAAAACTCTTGGCATTCAAGACGATGTCTAAAACTCTTGGCATTCAAGACAATGTCTAAAACACATTCAATGGCAATTCATTTTAAAAGTGCTTTGACACTTGGTCTCTAGGGACACATCGTTTCAATCTTTGACCGAGGAAAACAATGGATATATTAGTATACAAATAAATCACCCAATGTTATGATATTTCTCAACGAACTAATAAAAAATTCATGTTTGTTTTTAAAGGAGACTGACATCATGGGAAATGAATAACTCACAAATTCAAGTGAGTATCTCACATCAAGAGAAATGAATAACTCATAAATTCAAGTGAGTATCACACGTCATGGGAAATGGATGAATAGTGATTTTAAGAGACGTTCAAAGAAAAAAAAATGTGTTGTAATGAGAGATAATTGAATCTTAGATACAACTACAATACACCCCCCTCCCGGGTCAAATGTAGATATACAGAATAAATTCTCGTTCCCCCTGCGATGGCAACTGCAACACCTCTGCTACTAACACTGCTACCGTTTCACCATACCTCACTGGCCTGGCCATACGTTTTCCAAGACTGTCAGAATCGGCTTACATAGCATTAGAGTCCGCTTTGTTACCTACAGTCACCTTCCATGTCACAGGCGCCCCCCTCCACCACCGCCCCAAGCTCCACCACCGCCCCATGTCACCCAACTAATGAATGGCCTCCCCGGCCAAGGTAGTTTCTTGTTTTTTTAAATTGGTGAAAAGTAAGGATGGGTAACCTGCCCTTGCCAATTGTTGAATGTTGTTACCACAGTCTGTTGGATATGTTTGCATGTTTTATCTAGATACTATTGGACTATGTGTGATTGTGCTATTTAGCAATGTTCGACTATGTGTGAATGTTTTCTCTAGATAATGTTGGACTAGGAGCGATTTACTCCAACTCCTACCGGAGGACATGAACTGACCCTGACCTCGACCTTGACCCCAATGCACTGATGGCAATGATTGACGCTGACTCATCCTGTAACTTTTAAAGTGACGTCCCCTTAAGATTCTGAACAATTCTAAAACACTGTGTCCTTGTGTGCACTGTGCACAGAGTACAACAATTGAAGTCTGAGGATATTTCTCTACAGGTGCAGTAACAAAGGAAGATTACATCCACTCACAACAGCTACAAATGTCATTAAATGACACAGCTGTTCATCTGAACTAATTAGTTCATCTTCTTCTTAGCCTTTTTACTCCCAAATGGAGCATAGCCCATCCAAAATAATTTTCCTTCTGTCCTTGTCCTGTGCTATCTTTGCTACTTCAGCCCAACATTTCTTCATTCTCTTCCCCCCTGCCTCTGCTGCCCTCTTCCATGTGGCTCTTGGTTCTCCTCTTTTCCTGGTACCTTGAGGACTTCAATCCAGGGCCTTCCTTGTGATGTCAGTGTTTGGTGTCTATAATGTGTGCCCTATCCATCTCCATTTTCTCTTTTGTATCTCCTTTTCCACTGGAACACTTGATGTTCTCTCCCAAAGGAAAGTGTTACAAATTATGTCTAACGAGCTTATTTTGAGGATCCTTTTAAAGCATTAAAAAAAAAAACGCAGTTTTTTAATGTTTGTTTTTTATTCTAATTACAGGTACTCAATTGTTGCCTGTCCCACAAGTGACATCATAGAGATATGACTGATTGACGTTAAATTGCTTGAGATAAGTTAAAAAGACGCACAAATACCAGAGTACAGGGCCTAAAGGTTATGAAAGAAATTATTTTGATAAAATAACTCGAGTATTTCTGATATCAGTTTCCTTCATTACAATCTTAAGCTGTGTCCAATTTTCTACTCTGTTGCCAATGTTCTACTTTGTGGCAAATGTTCTACCCTACCTTGTCTTTGGCTCTGTCGACGGCTCCAGTGGACAATCTTTAGCTGTGGTCAGTAGTATATAAGACTAGAGACTAGGTTATTTTGAGCAATTCTGGGCTACACAGTCTACTGGACCTGGGCTAGACATCAGTACCCTGGACTTGGGGTACAAATCAATCTACTGGTCTTGGGCTATTGAGTAGTTTCCTGGACCTGAGATACACGGCAGTCTACTAGACCGAGCTACGCATCTTGAGCAGTCTACTTGACCCGGGGAAGCATTTTTAAGTGCATGTGTCATCATGCATCCTGGTCTATTTCCAGTTGTCTTGACTAACTCTTGCCATTGGTGGAAATAGACAAGGACGAGAGAGTGACGCTGACGAATTGAGCCCATCTCCTTTCTTTAAAAACGTTACAGTCAAAGATAGTCTAAGTCATCTTCGCATGTCAAGGACGAAAGGATCTAGTGACAGTGTCCCTAAAATCATGTACGCTGGATAACCTTGTTGCACATTTCAATACATAGATGGGCTTGATAAAACAATTCAGTATTTAGGTTTAACGTATCTTTAGTCTCTATGAACTGGGCTATTCAGGAGGGGGGTGTGTCTATTACATATCCTCGGAGGTACGAGTGATGGAGGGTGACGTATTCCTGGAGGTACTAGTGATGGGGGGTGACGTATCCCTGGAGGTACGAGTGATGTGGTGTTACAGAGATGTTTTGAGATGTTATGAAGAAACAACAACAAATTGACAATGGCGCTGCTTCATTTATTAATCAGACGAGACACCAGTCAATCAAGTTATTGTTTGCAGTTATTTTACAAAAATTTCCATCTCGGCCACGTCGTTCAGATGAAGAGACTTCTCATTGGTTGATTTGAAACTATTCCTGCATAATCTCCACGTGACGATAACAGCCAATAGATGACTGACTAGATTTGTTGTAGTCCGCATTCGATCACTGGGGATAAATTGGAAACAAGACAGTGTTGCTGTCAGGGTTGATAACTATAAAACATGTCAGAGGACGTCAGAAAGACTCAATAAAAAATGTAATATATCTTTACAAAAGAATTGTCGTTTGGAATGCAAACAATCTATGGAGTAGGCTTTAGAAATACAGATCTTGGCCCTCATTGAAATGGTCCTTATCGAATTAGACTCCAGTATTTCTGTGCTTGACAGGTGTAAATGTGTACATCGCGTGTCAATGTGTACATCGCGTGGCAATGTGTATATCGCGTGTAAATATGTACATCGCGTGTCAAAGTGTACATCGCGTGTCAATGAGTACATCGCTTGTCAATGTGTGTATCGCGTGTCAAGCGGACTCCATTAAATTTGCATTTCTCTATTTGCCAACATCCTCCTCCCTCTGTGTGGTGTCCCCGGTGCGCTACTCAGCCCCGCACCTCCACACCCCTAGTGACTCTACTCAGCCCCACACCTCCACACCCCTAGTGACTCTACTCAGCCCCACACCTCCACACCCCTAGTGACTCTACTCAGCCCCGCTCCTCCACACCCCTAGTGACTCTACTCAGCCCCGCACCTCCAGACCCCTAGTGACGCTACTCAGCCCCGCACCTCCACACCCCTAGTGACTCTACTCAGCCCCGCACCTCCACACCCCTAGTGACGCTACTCAGTAGTAGTTTAACAAAACAACAAATCCTATTAATAAATCTGGTCACTCACTTGATCCATTCCACAGCCATAACAAGGCCGATGCTTGTTGCAGGGATCCCCACACTGCCAAGAATAATGAGCACTGAGACCACACTAGAGCTGGGCACATTGGGAATGGCCAGAGACGAGAGTATAGACAACAACCTGGAGGGTAGGGGGGGGGGGAGAAGGTATGACGTATGTGGCAATGTCAAGTGACACATCGATACATTTATATTTAATAGACTATTTCTTCACTAAGCCTACAAGCCCTGGAGCACTAAGATTACTTTTAACAATAAAACTTTGAGTTATGAGCGTAATATATATTTGAAACTTTGTGCCATATTGTCACTTTTGTGTTATCTTGTCAATTTTGTGTCGCATTGTCACTTTTGTGTTGCTTTGTCACTTTTATGTTGCATTATCACTTTTGTGTCAGATGGTCACTTTTATGTTATGGCACTTTTGTGTTATTTTGTCACTTTTCTGTCGCATTGTCACTTTTGTTTGACATTGTCACTTTTGTGTCACATTGTTAATTTTTAATATATTTTTCACTTTTATGTTAATTTGTCACTTTTGTGTCGCATTGTCACTTTGTGGTGGTCCGAGTCCGGCTCAATACCCGGTGTCGTCCGAGTCCGGGGAAATACCCGGTGTCGTCCGAGTCCGGCTCAATACCCGGTGTCGTCCGAGTCTGGGGAAATACCCGGTGGGTCCGAGTCCGGGGAAATACCCGGTGGGTCTGAGTCCGGCTCAATACCCGGTGGGTCCGAGTCTGGGGAAATACCCGGTGGGTCCGAATCCGGGTCCAGGTGTAACAAAAAATAGTTATCTTCTCATATGTTATGGGTTTAACCAATGGGCAGAGGTGAAAGGCAATGTATAGAACCAGTAGCGATCTGATCACAAAGAAATCAACTGTTGAAGGTTTGAACACATAAATGAAGGCATCAATGTGGAAGGCTTGAACACACTAATGAAGGCATCAATGTGGAAGGATTGAACACACCTATGTAGGCATCAATGTGGAAGGCTTGAACACACCTATGTAGGCATCAATGTGGAAGGCTTGAAGCATCAATGTGGAAGGCTTGAACACACTAATGAAGGCATCAATGTGGAAGGATTGAACACACCTATGTAGGCATCAATGTGGAAGGCTTGAACACACCTATGTAGGCATCAATGTGGAAGGCTTGAATACACTAATGAAGGCATCAATGTGGAAGGATTGAACACACCTATGTAGGCATCAATGTGGAAGGCTTGAACACACCTATGTAGGCATCAATGTGGAAGGCTTGAACACACCAATGTAGGCATCAATGTGGAAGGCTTGAACACACTAATGAAGGCATCAATGTGGAAGGATTGAACACACCTATGTAGGCATCAATGTGGAAGGCTTGAACACACCTATGTAGGCATCAATGTGGAAGGCTTGAACACACTAATGAAGGCATCAATGTGGAAGGATTGAACACACTAATGAAGGCATCAATGTGGAAGGATTGAACACACCTATGTAGGCATCAATGTGGAAGGCTTGAACACACCAATGTAGGCATCAATGTGGAAGGCTTGAACACACCTATGTAGGCATCAATGTGGAAGGCTTGAACACACCTATGTAGGCATCAATGTGGAAGGCTTGAACACACCTATGTAGGCATCAATGTGGAAGGCTTGAACACACTAATGAAGGCATCAATGTGGAAGGCTTGAACACACCAAGGGCTTAAAAATATAATCCTAACCCAGCTGCTCAGTCCCGACATGTAGACTGCTTTTCCCAACTATGAGTTCGATACCAGTAGACTGAAATACCCGACTGTAAGTACGATACCTGTAGATAGTAGACTGACTTACCCAATAGTCAGTACAATGCCAGTGCTGAGGGGTATCCCAGAGTACTGAGCCAAGAAGAGACAGGTAGCTGAGACAAATAAACAACTGCCATCTCTGTTGAGCGTAATTGAGAAGGGGAGTACAAACCCCGAGACACGTGGGTCAATCTGGTACTCCTCTGCACTGATGGTCATCAGCTCTGGTAGGGGGATAGCTCTGAGGGGTCAGGATGAGATAAGATGATTTGGGATGGGATAAGAAGGATACCAGTGTATTATAGTTATCAAATATGTCATACATTTAGATTGTAACATACTGTATTGATCAACTGTTCTAATATAATTTCCTTTTATTGTCCATAAATCTGACAATGCTCACATTCACCCCTGTGGCACTACAGCCCAAGCAGAGGTTTGGCCCTTCCTCACCACATCCTTCCACTTGACACAAACTGATGTTTTTTTTCTTTTTGAGGATTGAATTTCCAGATGTTGTTCTCCATCCATATTCATCCTTTATTGGTTCGTATATTTTCCTATGTATTTAGGCTAAAAGGTTTTCTGTCTTTTTTTGTTAGGGTCCAAGTTTCACTTGCGTACCATCTGGTCTAATTTAAGTTTTAGTGACATATATTAATCTAGTAAGTTTTTTGGGTATGCCAAACTTAGTAGATTGTCTTATAGATATTTTTATTTTGATGATTTCACAGGCCTTTTAATGTCTACATAGAGGTGAAATGCTGGATTATTTATTCGTAACATTTCTGTAATAGGCATACAACATTTAGCAACAAGGCGTAATATTTTAATAGTCATTTATTTGTAAATCAGAGACTAGTGCAGATAGCACCTATATTAATGGAGCTAAGAGCAACTACATTAGTGGACAGAGGACCCCTATATTAGTGGAGCAGAGAGCACCTACTTTAGTGAAGCAGAGAATGCCAACATTTGTGGATCAAAGAGCAGCTATTTTAGTGGAGCAGAGAGTACTTATATTAAAGGAGCAGAGAGCACATACATTAGGGGAGCAGAGAGCAGCTACATTAGTGGAAAAGAGAGCACCTAAATTGGTGGAGCAGAGAGCACCCAAATTAGTGAAGCAGAGAGCACCTACATTAATAGAGCAGAGAGAACCTACATTAGTGGAGCAGAGAGCACTTACATTAATGGAGCAGATGGCACTAGATTAATGGAGCAGTGAGCACCTACATTAGGTTAGCAGAGAGCACCTAGATTAATGGAGAAGAAAGTACCTATGTTAGTGGAGAAATGGGCATGTGTCGATGAAAGGCATGGGAGCACTGAGCAAATGACCAGGGCTTCAAGCTTCAGTGGCATTAAGTTGGCTCTAGCGGTCATGAACATTGTAAGATCTAAAGGGAATCTAATTTGCTCCAAATTGCAGTTGGAGACAGGTTTCCAAATTGTAGTGAGAGATAGATTTCCAAATTGTAGTGGGAGACAAGTTTCCAAATTGTAGTGGGATACAGGTTTCCAAATTGTAGTGGGAAACAGATTTCCAAATTGTACTGGGAGACAGGTTTACAAATTACACTTTAAGACAGGTTTCCAAAGTGGCCCCCGATGAAGTTAAAACGACCATAAAGGGGGCATGTATATTATTGGAACAGAGATCATCGATACTAGTGGGGGGAAACAACTCCTATATTAGGGAACTCAAGAGCACCAAGATTAGTGAAGAGCACCAAAATTAGTGAATAGCACCAAGATTAGTTGAGTAGAGAGCACTTAAGTTAAGGTTACTTGCCTCACCAGATTATCAGAAGAGAAACAGGACAGGGGAGAGGAAAGTCAAAGGTCAGATGTTGAGGCGTGTATAAAGAGTAAAGAAACATGGAAAATAGGTCAACTGAATAATGTACACTACACCCACCCTATCCTCGTCACTCCAAATCTTTCAACCACTCGCTTTCCTTTCACTCTCTTCCTCTGCCAGAAACCTTGGAGTCACGCTTACAGACACCCTATCCATGGAAAAACATGTCACGAACATATGCTGATCGGCATACAAAGAAATTAGAAAAATCAGCACCATTAGACACCTCCTCTCCTTTGATGCCACAAAAACTCTCGTCTCTTCACTCATTCTTTCAAAATTTGACTACTGTAACATTCTTCTCTCAGGCATTCCTCAACACCACATAGAAAAACTCCAGAAGGCACAGAACTCAGCATGCAGACTCATTTTTAAATCAAAGAAACATGATCACATTTAACCACATATGCGGCAACTCCACTGGCTTCCAATATCCTCTCGCATCAAGTACAAGTCTGCCAATCTATGCTTCAACTCGTTCACTGACCCTCACTTTCCTGTCTATCTCTCTGAACTGTTGCTTCCTTACATCCCCACAATGAAAAATCAGCACCATTAGACACCTCCTCTCCTTTGATGCCACAAAAACTCTCGTCTCTTCACTCATTCTTTCAAAATTTGACTACTGTAACATTCTTCTCTCAGGCATTCCTCAACACCACATAGAAAAACTCCAGAAGGCACAGAACTCAGCATGCAGACTCATTTTTAAATCAAAGAAACATGATCACATTTAACCACATATGCGGCAACTCCACTGGCTTCCAATATCCTCTCGCATCAAGTACAAGTCTGCCAATCTATGCTTCAACTCGTTCACTGACCCTCACTTTCCTGTCTATCTCTCTGAACTGTTGCTTCCTTACATCCCCACAAGACAACTACGCTCTTCCATTGATAATAGCACCCTCTCAATCCCAAGAACCAAAACTAAGACCATCGGTGAACGCTCCCTCTACTTCCATGCGCCCACATTCTGGAACCAGCTCCCCTTCCACATCCGTCATTGTAAAACCTCGTCCACTTTCAAAAAGTCCCTTAAAACCCATCTGTTTAGGTCCGCCTATGACCTGTGATACACCCTCCTTGCCCTGCCTCATTGTCTGTCTCGGGTTGATCCTATAGTATAGGCCAAAACCTGCCAAAGTGGACTTATTTTTATAGCTATTTTAATGTTTAAGCTACTTTATTAATTTATTCTTCACATTGTAGTTACTATTCTAGTGTCTCTGTTTATTTCCTTTTTATTTTACTTTAGCAGTTTATAGTTTACATATTTTTAATAATTGTAAAGCGCTTAGAGCTGTAAGGTAAACGCTATACAAAAATGCCTAAATAAATAAATAAATACCGATCCCCCTGCCCCCCCTGCCCCCCCCCCTCTCTCGAGCCGTGACTCACGAGCTCGCTGCCCCAAACGCCATCATCCAAGGCTTGGCCACAATCATAAGGAATCTGATGGGGCTCTTCCTGGTGAAGATGAAGTACAGCGGCCCGTGGACGAGGAGTTGACACATCAGGTTACCGCCGGCTGCGACCAACACGAACATCGCCATAGAGGTGAAGGCGGTGCTCACATCGTCCATGCCGGACACGGCACGAGCTATCAGACTGACCACGCCCACCGGTGTCGACCTTCATTGAAATATAAAAGTTATGATTTAGCAAACGCTGACACGATACACCGTCACCTCTACAAAGGTCGACTTGTGAAATGTGGGAAAATTCACATGATCTATAACAAAAATTATATTATTGATTTGTTCCAATAAAGTAGCGGTTCCCAATCTTAGGTAATGTTGCCCTGGAGGTACGCAAAAATTATTTTTCGATAATGGCGTAAAACGACAAAAATAAATAATTCTATATTTGTGTACACCTATGAGAACCTATCTTTCGTTTTGTTCTGGTTTGAAATAAAAAAAAAATATTAACAAAAATAAAAAGTGGGGGGGGGGGGGGGGGGTGAAATGTAGATCTAATAAGGGGTACCGGGGTGGGGTGGGGGTGAAATGTAGATCTAATAAGGGGTACCGGAGGAAAATATGGTTACGAACCACTGTAGTGATGGATGGGTTACTGACACTCGCTCGCGGTTGGTGGATTCTTGCGATGATCGGTTAAATTATGTCTTCTGCAACTCATATGATGTTTGCTTGAGTGATGCCTAATGATACTAATTTAATTACAAGGTTGGTGTAAATATGACAGGGTCGAAGTCAGTTTGACTAGGTCAGTGTAAATATGAAAAGGTCAGTATAGCTATGGACATGGTCGATAAAACAAGATGTGGGGAAATAAACCTTGAAAGAAAACTCGGCATGAGTTATGTTTCCTTAGGTGTACATAATATTAATATAACTACTTGGGTGGGTGTGAGTGTGGCCCCAGATACCTCCTTATCATACACACCATTTCAGCCAGTTGAATAAATTAAATATGATGACAGCTCCTGCCTGGAAGAACTCTGTGAACCTGCGGACCTTGTCCCCTGCTTTAGAGGCAGCGATGCCGATGGCCGCACTGACCACGATCAGACCTGAGGTGAAGGAAGCAAGAACAAAGTCGATGTAAGAATCACCTTAAAAAAACTCAGATCCATATCAAATTTTCATGACCTCTGTTAATTACCTAATGATGGTCAAATTGACATGTTCATTATCACAAAGATCTTTATTGCTTCTTTGTACCTGGTGGATATGTTTATTATCATAATAATTTTTATTGATCGTTTATATCTGGTGGATATGTTTATTAACATAATGATCGTTATTGATTGTACCTGGTGGATATGTATAAATCAATCGCGTCCTCTCGATGCAACTTAACTGCAACATTTCTTACAACAATGACTGAGGTACAGGACAATGAAATGAAAGCCGGGCCCAGAGGGATGGATATTATGAGTTCAGTACCCTTCGGTATTTGAATATGGATAACATAAAAGTCTGATAATAGTATTTCCTATAATGATAATGCAATAAATGTCTCACCTCTCTTCACTCTCGTCTAACCAATGTATTTTTTAAAATTATTTTATTCTCAACTAAAGCAGTTTTGGCAATTATATTAAACCATTTGATAAAACCCAATGATATTAAACTATCTATAATAGCACACATAAAAATAATTTAAAAATCTTTATTTTTTCTTTTTTTTTTTAAACCCTAAGAAATACGAGTTTAAAAGCACAGAAAATGAGAAATTAAAAATGTCTTGAAGTGCATCACTTAGTACGTTAGGACTCATTTTAACGTTAGATGACCCACCTAAGATATGACCTACATTAAAGTTAGTGGACCTAAGATAGCACCTATTTCAAAGTTATGAATACCTACGATATGACCTATGGCTATTATAGCTTTAGTAGACATACGATTGGCCTATTTTTAATATGTGAAAATGAAATAATATACGATCTGTTTAAAGGTTAGCCTGACCTAAGATGTTGGTACCAGGCACGGTGCCCAGAGATTTGGACAGGCTCTTCCCTGTTATATTGACAGGTGTTCCCGAAACATTGTACAGTTCTGTAGACAACTGCTCCGTGTATTTGGTCTGAGTTAACTGCAGGGCTGCTCCAACAATATTGTCTGGGAAAATATTGCTGACAAGAGTTTGATTGGATTATAATTTGCGTTGATTGCTGGCCAAGTATGTGATTATAATTTGTTTTAATTTTGGCCAAGTATGTGATTATAATTTGACATAATTTTGGCCAAGTATGTGATTATAATTTGACATAATTTTGGCCAAGTATGTGATTATAATTTGACTTAATTTTGGCCAAGTATGTGATTATAATTTGTTTTAATTTTGGCCAAGTATGTGATTATAATTTGAAATAATTTTGGCCAAGTATGTGATTATAATTTGACTTAATTTTGGCCAAGTATGTGATTATAATTTGACATAATTTTGGCCAAGTATGTGATTATAATTTGACTTAATTTTGGCCAAGTATGTGATTATAATTTGACTTAATTTTGGCCAAGTATGTGATTATAATTTGACTTAATTTTGGCCAAGTATGTGATTATAATTTGACATAATTTTGGCCAAGTATGTATTAATGCTACAAACTGTACATTCACTTATTTTACCGTATAAAATCTGTAAGAATGTCGACTGTCTGGAGATTCTTGGTGTCCAGCACTGCAACTTGGTCAGTCTGGCCAGCGACTGAACCTGGTGGACAAAGCATTTGGCAGCTCTAAATGGCTGAACATGGTCTAAGTTTGTAAATAGAGTTCAGATTATTGTTTATAAGTTGTTTTTAGTTTATTCATGAACATTTTTTATTTTACCAAATAGTCACATGTTTCTTGTCTACGTTCAACGGTTCACTTAGTATTTCAATGTTGTCTAAGTTTAAAATTTACCTTTGTGTTTCAATATTTAAAAAAAGAATATATCATGTCCTGATTTTCATTTCTTTTTAAGTAATTGTAAATTTTATAGATAAAATAAGAATGAACAAAAAGTTGGGGACCCCTGACATTGATGAGAAATATCCTCATTTACCATATTCTTATGTTCAGTTGTCATCTATGGAGGCATGCCCCTAAGTTGTCAATGGAGGCATGCCCACAAGTTGTCTATGGAGGCATGTCCTCAAGTTGTCTATGGAGGCATGTCGCCAAGTTGTCTATGGAGGCATGTCCCCAAGTTGTCTATGGAGGCATGTCGCCAAGTTGTCTATGGAGGCATGTCCCCAAGTTGTCTATGGAGGCATGTCGCCAAATTGTCTATGGAGTCGTGTTCCAGAGTTGTCTATGGAGGAATTTCCCCAAGTTGTCTATGGAGGCATGTCGCCAAGTTGTGTATGGAGACATGTCCCCAAGTTGTCTATGGATGCATGTCCCCAAGTTGTCTATGGAGGCATGTCGCCAAGTTGTCTATGCGGGCATGCCCCGAAGTTGTCAATGGAGGCATGTTACCAAGTTGTCTATGGAGGCGTGTTTCAGAGTTGTCTATGGAGGCGTGTTCCAGAGTTGTCTATGGAGGCGTGTTCAAGAGTTGTCTATCGGGGCATTCCCAAAAGTAGTCCGTGGGGTGCATGTACTAACGAGGTTATTGTGTGGCGTGTAGCCGAGTTGTTTTTAGGGCGTGTCTTCCAGTTTTTCGTGGGCGTTTTTCTGTCGGGGCGTGTACCAAAGTTGGCTAAAGGGGCGTGTACCAAAGTTGGCTAAAGAGACGTGTTCCAAAATTGGCTAAAGGGGCGTGTTCCAAATTTGGCTAAAGGGGAATGTATAAAAGTTGGCTAAAGGGGCGTGTACCAAATGTGTCGTTATTGCGTATAACAACGTTCTGTTATTCCTGACTTACCTGGCTTAACAAGCAGACAAAGGACCAAACCAAACACACCACACACCGCATTGGTCAAGATAATGTAGCTAATGGCCACGACACCTATTCTGCCACTTGATGTAGCATCCGTGCTGGCGGTGCCTGGAGAGAGAGAAATCTGATACATTAGGGTGGCCGTATGGTTCATAGAGCGTCTCAAAGTAGGAATACAGTTGCTTACAAGCGAATGTGATGCAATGATTTGGGAACGTACATGTTTGTTTATGAAAGTTGTTGATTGTGAGTTGGTGAGAGGATTTGTTAATAAAAGTCGGGGGGGGTGGGGGGGGGGGGGGGGGTATGTCATTTCAGATGGTGGGGTTAGTTCGTGGTGCCCAGTTTTGTGGACATGTGGAGTGATCCATGTCGTGAGAAAGTACAAGCTAGTTAGTCAGTGGAGATGAGAGTGGGCTGAGTGACCATTGTAGTGTGAAGGTACAAGCTAGTTTGTCAGTGGGATTGTATGTATTGACAGTGGGGGATTGTGTGTACTGACATTGTTAGATTGTGAGAACTGACATACTGGGATTGTGTGTATTGACAGAGTGGGATTGTGTGCACTGAAGTAAGAGTAAGTTCGTAACCCAAATTATTGTTCATTAACAATGACAAAAATAGTTCACCAAACATATTCGTTGACTGGCTCGTTCGCTATCTGAGGCTCCACTGTATTTGAAATATTGAGCTTTCATCAGGGCTGACGTAGAGAGAGGAAGATCTAAAGTAGTTGTATTAAAACTCTTAAAATGACCTACAATTTATAACTGTGAAGACATTCAGAGATAAGATGACCTACCATTTATAACTGTGCAGGGAATCAGATATAAGATGACCTATCACTTATGAAAGTGCAGACAATCAGAGATAAGATGACGTGCCACTTATGACCGTGCTGAAAATCAGAGATAAGATGATCTACCATTTATGAAAGTGCAGACAATCAGAGATAAGATGACCTACCACTTATAACAGTGCAGACAATCAGAGGTAAGATGACCACTTTCAATACTCTCATGTACAGCTCGCCTGGAAGTCCTTCAAACAATTGAAAAAAAAAAACAAGGTCACCATTATGCCAAGAAAATTTATTTATATAGTTCAGAAATTATTGTTTATGAAATAAAAAAATAATAAAATGTTATTAAAAATCTGCACTACTGAGAGATCGTAAGTTTTCTCCGCTTGGTCATGGTCAACAGAGACATCACACTTACCTATCTACATTAATGTATCAACACTGGGGCTCAACACTTACCTATCTACATTAATGTATCAACACTGGGGCTCAACACTTACCTGTCTACATTAATGTATCAACACTGGGGCTCAACACTTACCTATCTACTTAATGTATCAACACTGGGGCTCAACACTTACCTATCCACATTTTTGTATCAACATTGGGCCCATCACTTACCTAGCCACATTAATGTATCAGCACTTACCTATCCACATTAATGTATCAGCACTTACCTATCCACATTAATGTATTAGCACTTACCTATCCACATTAATGTATCAACACTTACCTATCCACATTAATGTATTAGCACTTATCTATCCACATTAATGTATTAGCACTTACCTATCCACATTAATGTATCAGCACTTACCTATCCACATTAATGTATCAGCACTTACCTATCCACATTAATGTATCAGCACTTACCTATCCACATTAATGTATCAGCACTTACCTATCCACATTAATGGATCAACACTTACCTATCCACATTAATGTATTAGCACTTACCTATCCACATTAATGTATTAGCACTTACCTATCCACATTAATGTATTAGCACTTACCTATCCACATTAATGTATCAGCACTTACCTATCCACATTAATGTATTAGCACTTACCTATCCACATTAATGTATTAGCACTTACCTATCCACATTAATGTATCAGCACTTACCTATCCACATTAATGTATCAGCACTTACCTATCCACATTAATGTATCATCACTTACCTATCCACATTAATGTATTAGCACTTACCTATCCACATTAATGTATTAGCACTTACCTATGCACATTAATGTATTAGCATTTACCTATTCACATTAATGTATAAGCACTTACCTATCCACATTAATGTATTAGCACTTACATATCCACATTAATATATCAGCACTTACCTATCCACATTAATGTATCAACACTTACCTATCCACATTAATGTATCAGCACTGGGGTTTGTTGACTTCACAGTTAGGCCGATGAGGAACCCCAGAAATATTCCAACACAATTAAGGAGAAGGAATCCATTATTTTTTAAACATAGAGCGCATCCTCGCCGAAGTTGTTCCCCTTAAAATCAAAGCCATTCAAAAAAAATTAAAGAGATCAAAGCAATATGACTAACGTCAGAAAAGGGAAAAAAAACCCACCAAAATAACCTAAAACTTGCTAACGATTAAGCAGTGGTCCCTCGTTACACTTCAATGAATGTAGAGTGTTGTGGTCCCTCGTTACACTTCAATGAATGTAGAGTTTCAACGCGATGTACGTGGTTAATCCTTTCCAGATCCCTGTACTTATTCTAAAAAGGAGTTACTTCTATCCATTATTTCATATTATGCTCCAAACTAAAGTTCCACCTATAGCTTCAAATACAATTCCACGTATGGTTCTCCCTAAAGTTCCACCTAGAGTTCTATCTCTAGTTCCACCTAAAATTTCACCTAAAGTTCCACCTTATTCATCATATAGTTCCAACAATAGTTTAAAAAATAATCATCCTATAGTACCACCAATAATTTCATCTATCATTTCACCTATAATTTAACCTTTAATTTAAATTATAATTTCACCTAAAAGTTCACCTATAATTCCACGTATGTTTCCACCTATAGCACCACCAAAAATAACACCAATAATTTCAATTTATAAGTCAACAAATAATTCCACCTATATTTTCACCTTTTATTTCACCTAATAATTCCACCAATAAATCGACCAATAATTCCACCAATAAATCCACAAATAATTCCCCCTAATATATCAACCAGTAATTCCACCAATAGTTCGACCTATATTTCACATTTATTTCCACCAATAATTCCACCAATAATTCCACCAATAATCCCAACAATAGTCCACCAATAATTCCTCCAATAATTCCGCCAATAATTCCACCAATAATTACATCAATAATTCCACCAATAATTCCACCAATAGTTCCACCAATAATTCCACTGATATTTCCACCTATAATTCCACCAAAAATTCCACCATTAGTTCAACCAATAATTCCACCAATAATTCCAATAATAATACCATCAATAATTCCACCAATAATTCCATAAATAACTTCACCAATAATTCCATCAATAATTCCATCGATAATTCCACTAAAAATTTTACCTATAATTCCATCAATAATCCCACCAAAAATCCCACCAATAATTCCACCAATAATTCCACCAATAATGCCACCAATAATTCAACCAAGAATTCCACCAATAATTCCAACTATAATTCCACCAATAATTCCACCAATAATTCCATCAATAGCTCCACCAATAATTCCATCAATAATTCCACCAATAATTCCACTAAAAATTCCACATATAATTCCACCAATAATCCCACCAATAATTCCAAGAAATAATTCCACCAATAATCCCACCAATAATCCCACCAATAATCCACCAATGATCCCACCAATAATGCCACCAATAATTACACCAATAATTCCAACAATAATTCCACAAATAATTCCACCAATAATTCCACCAATAATTCCTCCAATAATTCCATCAATAATTCCACCAATAATTCAATCAATAACTTCACCAATAATTCCATCAATAATTCCACTAAAAATTCCACCCATAATTCATCCAATAATACCACAATAATTCCAAGAAATAATTCCACCAATAATCCTACCAATAATTCCACCAATAATCCCACCATAATTCCACCAATAATATCACCAATAATCCCACAAATAATTCAACCAATAATTCAAACAATAATTCCAACAATAATTACACCAATAATTCCACCATTAATTCCATCAATAACTCCACCAATAATTCCATCAATTATTCCATCAATAATTCCACTAAAAATTCCACCTATAATTCCCCCAATAATTCCACCAATAATCCCACCAATAATCCCACCAATAATTCGACCAATAATCCCACCAATAATCCCACCAATAAAACCCACCAATAATCCCACCAATAACCCCAACAATAATTCCAAGAAATAATTCCACCAATAATTCCACAAACAATCCCACCAATAATCCCAACAATAATTCAACCAATAATTCTACCAATAATTCCAACAATAATTCCACCAATAATTCCAACAATAATTCCACCAATAATTCCACCAATAATTCCACCTATAATTCCATCAATAACTCCACCAATAATTCCACTAAAAATTCCACCTATAATTCCACCAATAATTCCACCAATAATACCACCAATAATTCCAAGAAATAATTCCACCAATAATCCTACCAATAATATAATCCCACCAATAATCCCACCAATAATCCCACCAATAATCCACCAATAATCCCACCAATAATCCCACCAATAATTCCGCCGACAGTTATGACATAATATTTCACCTACGATTAACTGGTCGCCTATGCCGTGTTTCTTGTTTTCTGACGTCACTTTCATGCAATAAGGAATTCATTTACTTCCGGTGCACTTAACAGCTTTGAGCACTGTGCTGTCTTCTGCTAGACAAATTTTCATTCATGACTGGCAAAGTTAACAAAGAACTGCTTTTGTTTAAAACACAAATTTTGTGATCATCCACACAAATGTACACTAAATGTATCACTTAACTACATACTAAATGTATCACTAAGTACAGACAAAATGTACCACTTACGTACACACTCAATTTATCACTGAAGTACAGAATTAATGTATAGCTGAAGTACAGACTCAATGTATCACTTAAGTACAGACTGAATGTATTACTTAAAAATACCTACACACTAAATCTAGGGGGGGGGGGGAAATTGATTACAACGTGTTACATATTTTGTTACAAATGATATTCTGCCGTGAAAGTCTCTTACCCGATCCTAAATCAACGATTTCATTAATATAAACTAAACTTTAAAAAAAAAATCATCCATGTGGCTTGGTCGTAAAACTGATCACAATCTTAGTGATATAGATATTCATTATGACACATACCAATGAAATGATCTTTCCTATTAGAGCAAATATTCCACACTGTGAAATGAGACACATTATTTTGTTAACGTCATTGCACAAGTGTTAGTCAAACATTTAGAAATATTGTGACTTTAAGAAATTTAAGATAATACAACTCACTAACTTTGTTTAAAAAAAAAACCACCAAAAAAAAACCTGAATTTAGTTGACCTGGGTTGTCATGGGGTTGTCATGGCGCAGTCATCGGTTTGACATAAGAAGATGCGACCTGATGGCGGCTAATTATTATCTTTATAAGCGTGTGACCGTGAACGTATGGGCAATGGATCTCAAATCGTGTGAAACATAATATTATAGGGTACTTTGTGTTCTTTGTCCTGAATCTAATTTCTTCACATAAAGAGTGGAGACAACGTCAGACAGAACTATGATGGAAGAAGCCGGGGGACCTAACGTGACATCATTTAACGTGTTCATTTTGAGAATCACTGTCGCTTTTATTTACGCGCCCCGGACTCCAGGTATAATAAAGGAGAGGACGGTTCTAAAACGAATGGGCACCGTGCAAACCATCTTTTTATAAATTTGTATTCTGATGAGAGGAATCATTGCATTATTTAGACACTTGGTTTGACTATCAATGGCATTAACAGGCTTTTAAACTATGAATGACTTCTTAAACTTATTGCGATCAAGAAAACTCCTTCAAAATTCGAATATTCGAATAATTTCTAATCTTTCTAATATTCTAATAATTTCTCTACAGTCAAGAAGATCACTTGAATTTTTTTTTTTTTTAACTCTTAAGTATTAAGCCGATTAAGAGTCAACTTGATCAAACCCTAATCTATTAACCTCTGTCAACCCCTCTACTTTAAACTCTGTCAACCCATCTAAATTTAACTCTGTCAACCCGTCTACATTTACCTCTGTCAACTCGTCTACATTTAACTCTGTCAACCCGTCTACATTTACCTCTGTCAACCTGTCTACATTTACCTCTGTCAATCTGTCTACATTAACATCTGTCAATCCGTCTGCATTTAACTCTGTCAACCCGTCTAAATTTACCTCTGTCCACCCGTCTACATTTAACTCTGTCAACCCGTCTACATTTACCTCTATCAACCCGACTACATTTACCTCTGTCAATCCGTCTACATTTACCTCTATCAACCCGTCTACATTTACCTCTGTCAATCTGTCTACATTAACCTCTGTGAATCCGTCTACATTCAACTCTGTCTATGTTACCCCTCTCAACGAGTTGACCATTCACGGTTTATTTAGACTGAGTATTTCCAAACAAAGAAGAGTCTGTCACAAAATAGTTTCTGGCCACTGAGAGTTGTGTTTTTAAGCAAGCTTGGAATGAAACTGGTGGTGGTCAACCCGTGAACCGCGGGCTACATGCGGGCCCTAAGGTTAAATGTCACGGCCTACCGTATGTATCGCAAACGGGGTTACTTGACGTCATTAAATTTTCATTCCTGGAATAAACGCACATTTGAAATTTAACGAATGTATAAAAAGTATAAAATAACAATAGTAATGAATTAACCGGTACCTAAAATAGAGGTTTGTATGCCCAAAATAGAGATTTGTATGCCCAAAAGAGGTTTGTATGCCATCCATCTTTCGCACACGAAGATGACAAAGACTGATCAGACTGTGGGTCTGCCTCGCCAGCTCGAACGATCCACGATTGTGATAAATTCAGGTCAATATCCATGGATTTGAGGGAAAGTGTTATATACCCTTTAAAGCGTTTCTTTTCTGACCATTAGTTGAGCTTTTCCTTCTGGATAGTTCACCAAACATTAGTTTAGACAGTCTGGTGTCTGGCCTTCTTAGTTTAGACAGTCTGGTGTCTGGCCTTCTTAGTTTAGACAGTCTGGTGTCTGGCCTTCTTAGTTTAGACAGTCTGGTGTCCGGCCTTCTTAGTTTAGACAGTCTGGTGTCTGGCCTTCTTAGTTTAGACAGTCTGGTGTCTGGCCTTCTTGCAACAAGTCATGCCTATTTGGCTTTTCATTTTCGTATGAACGTTTGGATATCGATAAAATCAGACAATTGTAGGACTTCTGTAACAGGGACTTTGTCCTGCCACCTCATGCCAAGAAGTTTGCATAAACACCGTAGGTGGAGATGATCTAGTTTTCTTGTTGTCTGGTTGTAAGGGTTAGGGCTAGTCTAGTTGTCTGGTTGCTTATTTGACTAGTTGATTTGTCTGGTTGTTTAGTTGTCTAGTTGTTTAGTTGTCTAGTTGTTTAGTTGTCTAGTTGTTTTTTTTTTGTCTGGTGGTTAAATTGTCTAGTTGTCTGTTTTTTTAGTTGTCTACTTGTCTTGTTGTTTAGTTGTCTAGCTTTCTTGTTGTCTCATGGTTTAGTTATCTAGCTGTCTCGTTTAGTTTTCTATTAGTCTTGTTGTCTAGTTGTCAGGTGTGTTGTTGTCTGGTTGTTTAGTTGTCTAGTTGTCTATTTGTTTAGTTGTCTTGTTGTTTGGTTGTTAAGTTGTCTTGTTGTCTTTTGTCTGTTATTACTTGTTTGGTTGTCTTGTTGTTTGGTTGTCTAGTTGTTTGGTTGTTTAGTTGTCTCTTCGACTTGTTTGTCTGGTTGTTTACTTGTTTGGTTGTTTAGTTGTCTTGTTGTCTGGTTGTCTTGTTGTTTTGTTGTCTCGTCGACTTGTTTGTCTGGTTGGCTCATACGCGAATTGTCAATAATATTTGTCCTTACAAAAGCACCCTCAAATAGATTTGAAATCGTCAAGCACACTCAAATAGATTTGAAATCGTCAAGCACACTCAAATAGATTTGAAATCGTCAAGCACACTCAAATAGATTTGAAATCGTCAAGCACACTCAAATAGATTTGAAATCGTCAAGCACACTCAAATAGATTTGAAATCGTGTCCCCTTTCGCCACTGAATTCTTTTTTTTTTCAATGTGTCATGGTTTGTTCTGGATAAAGTCAGTCTATGACCTGGCACGTTCAGCCGTGACATAAGACCCAGTATGTCAACGGATTGTTAATTTGGCGTGTGACAAGGTGTTAAATGGACCAGTTCTAGCTCCTCTTCAAGACCTAAGGTAGAAGCAGTGAGCTCATGCTAACCTCTCTACAAGACAAAAGGTAGTAGCAGTGAACTCATGCTAACTTCTCTACAAGACCTAAGGTAGAAGCAGTGAGCTCATGCTAACTTCTCTACAAGACCTAAGCTAGTAGCGGTGAGCTCATGCTAACTTCTCTACAAGACCTAAGCTAGTAGCAGTGAGCTCATGCTAACTTCTCTACAAGACCTAAGCTAGTAGCAGTGAGCTCATGCTAACTTCTCTACAAGACCTAAGCTAGTAGCGGTGAGCTCATGCTAACTTCTCTACAAGACCTAAGCTAGTAGCGGTGAGCTCATGCTAACTTCTCTACAAGACCTAAGCTAGTAGCGGTGAGCTCATGCTAACTTCTCTACAAGACCTAAGCTAGTAGCGGTGAGCTCATGCTAACTTCTCTACAAGACCTAAGCTAGTAGCGGTGAGCTCATGCTAACTTCTCTACAAGACCTAAGCTAGTAGCGGTGAGCTCATGCTAACTTCTCTACAAGACCTAAGCTAGTAGCGGTGAGCTCATGCTAACTTCTCTACAAGACCTAAGCTAGTAGCGGTGAGCTCATGCTAACTTCTCTACAAGACCTAAGCTAGTAGCGGTGAGCTCATGCTAACTTCTCTACAAGACCTAAGCTAGTAGCGGTGAGCTCATGCTAACTTCTCTACAAGACCTAAGCTAGTAGCGGTGAGCTCATGCTAACTTCTCTACAAGACCTAAGCTAGTAGCGGTGAGCTCATGCTAACTTCTCTACAAGACCTAAGCTAGTAGCGGTGAGCTCATGCTAACTTCTCTACAAGACCTAAGCTAGTAGCGGTGAGCTCATGCTAACTTCTCTACAAGACCTAAGCTAGTAGCGGTGAGCTCATGCTAACTTCTCTACAAGACCTAAGCTAGTAGCGGTGAGCTCATGCTAACTTCTCTACAAGACCTAAGCTAGTAGCGGTGAGCTCATGCTAACTTCTCTACAAGACCTAAGCTAGTAGCGGTGAGCTCATGCTAACTTCTCTACAAGACCTAAGCTAGTAGCGGTGAGCTCATGCTAACTTCTCTACAAGACCTAAGCTAGTAGCGGTGAGCTCATGCTAACTTCTCTACAAGACCTAAGCTAGTAGCGGTGAGCTCATGCTAACTTCTCTACAAGACCTAAGCTAGTAGCGGTGAGCTCATGCTAACTTCTCTACAAGACCTAAGCTAGTAGCGGTGAGCTCATGCTAACTTCTCTACAAGACCTAAGCTAGTAGCGGTGAGCTCATGCTAACTTCTCTACAAGACCTAAGCTAGTAGCTGTGAGCTCATGCTAACTTCTCTACAAGACCTAAGCTAGTAGCGGTGAGCTCATGCTAACTTCTCTACAAGACCTAAGCTAGTAGCGGTGAGCTCATGCTAACTTCTCTACAAGACCTAAGCTAGTAGCTGTGAGCTCATGCTAACTTCTCTACATGACCTAAGCTAGTAGCTGTGAGCTCATGCTAACTTCTCTACATGACCTAAGCTAGTAGCTGTGAGCTCATGCTAACTTCTCTACAAGACCTAAGCTAGTAGCAGTGAGCTCATGCTAACTTCTCTACAAGACCTAAGCTAGTAGTGGTGAGCTCATGCTAACTTCTCTACAAGACCTAAGCTAGTAGCCGTGAGCTCATGCTAACTTCTCTACAAGACCTAAGCTAGTAGCAGTGAGCTCATGCTAACTTCTCTACAAGACCTAAGCTAGTAGCGGTGAGCTCATGCTAACTTCTCTACAAGACCTAAGCTAGTAGCAGTGAGCTCATGCTAACTTCTCTACAAGACCTAAGCTAGTAGCAGTGAGCTCATGCTAACTTCTCTACAAGACCTAAGCTAGTAGCGGTGAGCTCATGCTAACTTCTCTACAAGACCTAAGCTAGTAGTGGTGAGCTCATGCTAACTTCTCTACATGACCTAAGCTAGTAGCGGTGAGCTCATGTTAACTTCTCTACAAGACCTAAGAAGTAGCTGTGAGCTCATGTTAACTTCTCTACAAGACCTAAGCTAGTAGCGGTGAGCTCGTGCTAACTTCTCTACAAGACCTAAGCTAGTAGCGGTGAGCTCATGTTAACTTCTCTA